AAGGTATTGGTAAGTGGTTGATAATGTAAGTGTAAGGTATTGGTAAGTGGTTGATAATGTAAGTGTAAGGTATTGGCAAGTGGTTGATAATGTAAGTGTAAGGTGTTGGCTGACCACTTACAGACACCTCACTGTACATTACAGACATATCACAATAACTGTAATGCACTCTACAACTGCACTTGCGTCAAGACAGTTATGTACCAATGCATCTGTCATCTAAATTGCTCATTTTTGCATTTGAATGTATAAACTTTTGCTGGAACTTGAAGTGTCTTTTTCAAGCACAATCCAGTAGATGTTTCAGTGGCATGGCAGAGTGATAGTTTGATTGACTTGATAATGGTTTTAATACATTTGTTTCAGGCTTCAGATTTCAATGATAATATTTTATCTTCTAACCCAAAAATGGAACATGAAAGGTAAAATAAATTATGTAAATAGATGACCTTACAACTTTGAGATTAATACTAGGTAATAATAAATTATTATCACTTTGTGTGATTGTATAGAAAATCAATTCCAAGGGCTGATATGATTCGCAATCTTGGACCAAGGAACACAGGTATGTAAACATATGGTAAAACACAATAAAATACAAAAAAAAAAAAAAATGGTAAAACACTTTCAACTACAAACTGCAAACTGCACAAACCCACAAATGACCGGCTCTGTGTGACCTAGATAGCTCAGTTGGTAGAGCATTGCAGATGTATCACAAAGGTTATGGGTTGAAATCCTGTTCTAAGCCTGCATTTTTTTCCCAGTAGTAAAGGTCCCATTCAAATTTTCACATGCCACCTCCACTGCTGGTTCGTTTTCCAATTCTTTAACAGTAAATACTTTTAAAACCTGGATTGAACTGGAATTTGACAGCTGACTTTTGGAAGGATGGGAATTAAGAAAAATAGAAACATTCAGAGAAAACCTGATATAAAATGATTTAAAATGAAATTGTCTCTTCTGACAAATGCAGTGGTACTGTGACAATGATGTTGTCATCCTTCTTTGACATGCATTTTTCCAGTTTTTTTCACTTGTACTAAGTTTTAGATATCTTGTCTAACTAGCCTTTGAAGAAGATGATGTTGCTATACTGGACATGATAGCAAGGACTGACGGCGATCTTAACCAACCAAGAAGAGTGACAGGCTCATCAGCAAGACAGCCTGACTTGGATGACTTCACTAGAGATGGTATGTCATTCATAATAAAAATATGTAGGGCTGTCATTAACGTTTTTGGTGAACATAATGAGTCCAAATTAAAAAAAAAAAGATTTTTGCTTCCCATTATTCCTGGCAGATCTTAAGTCAAGAAAGAAGGTGTTAAAATTTATATAGGTTCCTATAGATGTCTTTTCTGGTATTGCCTAGATGTGTTGAATGTTAATTTTTACTTACTGAATGGCATGTTTTCAGTAGACATGTACATGGATGATAAAGAATGGAGGGCAGTGTTTGCCTGTCATGGTAGGCTGGTAATAAGATCTTATGTCCATGAGATCTATTCAGCTGATTGACACTAATACTCTCTGGTTGATGGCACATGATGGGCAGTGCTTGACTGTCGTTGTAGGCTGGTATAAATGAGACTCATTCAGATTACTGATACCAAACAATACCCTCTGGTTGATAGCATATGATGGGCAGTGTTTACTAATCATCGTAGTTTGGTGAGATTCATTCAAATTATTGATTCCATGCAAGCAATACTCTGGTTGATAGCACGTGATGGGCACTGTTTGTCTGTCATTGTAGGCTGGTAATAAGATTATTGAGATTCATTCATATGATTGATACCAAGCAATAAACTTTAACAGAAACTTTGAAACCTTTTGATCCTTTGAACAGAAATCCACAGGATGATGCAACCAGTCGAAACACCAAAGAAGCACAGAACAGAAAATACACAAACAAACAGGAATGAAAGAAGCCCTTCACGTATCAAAGACAGAGTTTATGTCCAGTTTGCTGACGACCTCAAAGATAACCCTGAACAACATCTAAAGTATACTGACGAGTCCTCTGCTTATTCGACTTCAAACACAAGAGGACATTTCACTGCTAATCCTTTGGCCAGTGATTACGTTAATGGTCTTGGAAGTACAAGATCACGTGACCAAGCTGTCAATCAAGGGAAATACCAAGGTACTGGACAACATGTTGGTCATTCGCAGGAGTCGGCAAGAACATATGATTTCTTTTCACCTGAAAAGCGCCAAGACCACAAAACAAGGAGTGAGATAGAATATGATAGGGATCTGGATTCTGGGCAAGCACATGAAAGATCAACACATAGCAGTCAGCCAAGGCAAAGATCTCCTCAGCAAACACAAGGACAGCTTGCTGATAGAATTGGACAACAATATTCTGAAGATTTGATCATGTCGTCACCTCTGAGAGAGTTCAGTAAAGATGGTCTAATTTCATCAAGAATGGTATGTAGTTGTGACCGATTTATAAAATTATTAATGAATTATGGTACGTTACTTTTATTTCATAAATACATTATGTTCCATTTTCAGATGTCAGTCCCTTGAGCTGTATTATTTCTATATTATTCATTAATACTTAAGAGCTTAAAATAGATGAAAGATCATAGCCAGGCAGAGTTTACTATGACCAGGACAATTTTGGCAGCAATCCTTTTATCATTTGAGGATTGTTTTCAGGGGAGGTGGAAGCTAAAAATCTTTTGGGGGGGGCACTGCAAAAATCTTATGGGGGGCACTGCAAAAATCTTTGGGGGGGGGGGCACTGAAGATTATATTTAACCTATGTGATAATGACAATGTTTTGTTTGATTGCAGACGCATGTGCCATAAAACAATGACTAAGAACCAATTTTTTTGGGGGGGGCCCTGGTTCCGCTGCACCTGGCTTTTGGCTAGTATCGGTAGAATAACTGATCTGGTTGAGGCATCATTATGATGGCTAAATCTGTTTATGTTATTCCTTTAGCATGGTTGTTCTAAAATGAGAAACAATTATTCCCAAACTAAGCCAATCTATGTGGCCTAAAAAGTTGACATTGTAGGCCAATAAGTCTTTGATTCTCATCCATTAGATCCTGGATTCGAGCTGAGCAATGGCTAAAATGTCTGTTCTTTCTTCTCAGGCTGATACAGAGCAGAATTCCCAGACAGAAGTACTCAACAAACTACTAGATTTAGTTGACAGGTCAGTGCAGCTAATGTGCTTATGAGTATTTAAATCCAAAGTATCTTTAATTTATTATATTTTTTCATTCTATTTACCAACAATTATGACATGCATTACGCTGCTCATGAGTGAGTAAGTGGTTGATAAGGTAAATAGTTAGATGACCATCTACAGAGGTTTTGAGAACTCACTAACCTTGTGTATTGATAGGATTAGCCAACTCATTACAATTGAGGTGTATATTGATCAAACTTTTTGTCTTAGGTACTGGAATGGATCCAAGTCTCTGCACAGAAACTCAAAGTTTCAAAGTAATTACGAATTATTTTAATATTGAAGCAAAAATACTTGCTGTCAAATTATAGTTAACATAATTCTCAATATTACAAAAACAATAGCTATGTGGCAAGTAGAACTAGGAAGTCTCCTTTACAGTTCCCTGCGCCATCTTGAAAGGTAGCCGTGCCTTTACATCAAAACGAGACGAACAATGCGTTTGCAATGATAGAGACCTGTTTTTAACACCTTGGACAATTATTTACATGTCTCTATCATTGCAAGCTCACAGTTCGCCTCGCTTTGATGTAAAGGCACGGCTACCTTTTAACATGGTGCAGGGAAATGTGAAGGGGACTAATGGGTCTTTTGGTGCTTGAATCAAAAGTATGACATACTTGGTGTCTGTTATATTATTTTGATTGGAAGAAACAAATAACATTACAAAACAGCTGGGTTGGAGTAATATTGAAAATTGAAGTTCACATAGTTCTAAAGCTTATAATAAGTTTACATAGCAGATAAACTTTTAATGTAGAAACTGTTCACAAAAAGGTTTATTGAAAAAAAATCTGTAGAACTTTGTGGTGGGCTAAAAAAATAATCTTGAAAATATCTTATTGTCAAGATTACATTGCATCCTAGCACACAGACCTTCTATTTTTAAAAGCTGTCAATTCAAAAAGTTGAAACCAGTGAAAAATGTTTGGGACCCCTGATTTACTATACACTTGGTCAGAGAACCTTGGAAGAAATTTTTTTTAGTGCAATAGTCCCTTCACAGTTTCCTGCACCATATTGAAAGGTAACCATGCTTATGCATTGAAGCGAGAATGATGTTGACCTTGCAGTGATAGAGACTTTCCCTGCACCTTTCAAGATGGTGCAGGGAACTGTGAAGGGGACTATTACCAAAGTATCTTTTGAGAATATTTTACAGAGAGGTTATTTTATGTTTTGCAGGTTTGGCTCTCAAACTTCTTTCATCTCAATCTTCCACACATCATCCCTCAACACCTGGTACCAGTGATAAACTAAGAGCAGAATTATCTGAGAGAACTATGGAGCTATCACGGCTAAGAGACCAAATGGCAGAACAACAAAGAGACCTTGAAAGCATGCGCAGTAAGGTCAAAGGTCAAGAAGGTGTAAGGGGCTCCCTGGAGGCTACATCCCAAGAACTGGTATTGTAGTAGGCTTATAAATAGACCTTTTTAGGTCTGGAATGCTATCTTTTTCAAACAATTACAAAAAAGATATTTAACCCTGAAACAAGCTCTGGGCTGATCTATTAATTGATTTGGGCATGGCTAACTCGTGAATCTAACCCTGAAACAACCTCTGGGCTGATCAAAGTCAGGGCACAGCTAACTCACAGATTGAACCCTGAAACAAAATCTGGGCTGATCAAAGTCAGGGCACAGCTAACTCACAGATTGAACCCTGAAACGAAATCTGGGCTGATCAAAGTCAGGGCACAGCTAACTCACAGATTGAACCCTGAAACAACCTCTGGGCTGATCAAAGTCAGGGCATGGCTAACTCACAGATCGAACCCTGAAAGAACCTCTGGGCTGATCAAAGTCAGGCCATGGCTAACTCTCAAATTTTAAAATTTTGCAAAGGGAGAAAAACCAAATAACTGATAGAAAAACCCTTGAATGAAGGGAGAAACCTAAACAAACTCTACTCACTTGTGATGGTGAGTCCAGGAATCAAACCCGAGGCTAGCTCCTGAGGCAAGATATGAGTGCACAACCTTTAAGAAACCTTTGACTCCCTTACATTGTAAAGTTTGTCTTAATAGTACGTAATGCCCAGTTAAGGGGTCTTATAATATCTTACCTTCTTTTCAAAGGTTATTGTCACATCAAAGCTGAAAGAGGTACAGGAAGACAACGGTTTATTGAAGGCTAAAGTTGTATCTTTGGAAGCAAGGAATCTGACTGCAACAGAACAAGAAAAACAACTGGGTAACTAGCCATTATTGAAAATAAAGTTTTAATAGCATAGATTTTGTTTGACAGTGATCGTGTACTTCAAGACCAGCCAACACGTGTCGGTCGACTATTGCCCAACTGTTGGTCTACAGTTGGCGATAGACGGCCGATAGTCGGGCAACTGTCAACCAACAGTCGAGCGATAGTCAACTGACACGTGTCGGCTGGTCATGAAGTACACAATTAACTTGTTTGACTATCAAATAGCATGGCACTTGATTATGTCAAAGTATTAACTCCACAATATTTTGTACAAATTGTTAAGATAAAGTGCCATTAAATTTTACAGAATAAAATGATTTTGGTAGTTTAACATAAGAACGTTAGGTGTAGTCCTATCATTTCTCATCTTTTGTGTCTGCACTTTAGGTGAACTTATTAGGAGGAACAACAGCTTAGAAGAGAAGGTACAATCACTTAATCAACAAATATCTCAACAAAATTCAAACTTGGAGCAGCTACAGGACCTAACAAACATGTTACAAGAGAGCCACAGGTGGGACATTCATATTGTTTCTACCAAAAAAATCAACCCTCGTACGACTGGACAACCCACTGACACCCTACCAACAACCCAGTGACACCCTGCCAACAACCCACTGACACCCTACCA